GTTTGATCAGAACGTGATTGAATTATTGGGATTTTCTCTTGTGATTTTATTTCATCTGAGATGGAGCCAAATTTGAGGTTTGGGGTTCATTTTGATGAAATGTAGACAGAATAATTTGGGGACATCTCAATGAGGCTCAGAAATGTTGGTGATGAGTTTGGGAAATCTGACAGGAATATTTTAAAACTTTAAAAATCCTGCAGAGTTTGGATCAAAAAAAGTCTGGAATTTACAAATTCCAGCAGCACCATTCATGTATTTTAACAAAAAATTGTAGTTTTTGTGGTGTGTTTGCCTCAAAATCCCAAAAGTTCAGCATCCTTTTGAAAGAATAAATTCAAAAATCAACTGAAAGAAAAGCTGAAGTTTAGCCCAGGGAATTTCCCTTTTTTCCTTGGAAGATTTCTGTTAAAATAATTGTTGATATTTTAATTGCACAATTGCTTGGTGGGAGAAACCCTAATTCAGGGAATTTTTTCTCCACATGAAAAGCTTCTCCAATTAAAAAGAAAATCTTTTTCCTTGAGGGCAGATTTCCCTGTCTGAACATTCTCATTGCACCAGGAACCCAGAATTCCCTCAGGAACAAAATAAACTAGAAAAAAATAAAAAAAACCCTCTTCCTTAAAATTCCAGTCCTGGAATTTTAGGATGATCTGACCTGGAACAGATTCAGGAAAATCCAGAATTTGCCTGGTCTGTCATGGAAAGGATCCAGCAATGTCAAGGGAATAATTAATTCAGAATAAATAATTCAGAATAAATAATTCAGGAAAAAAAATTCAAGAGAAATAATTCCGAAGAAATAATCCAGAATAAATAATCCATGAGAAATAATCTGTAAGATTATCCAGAATAAAGAAATAATAATCCAGAATAATCCAGCATAAATAAACAATAATCTAGAATAAATAAATAATAAAAAAAACCCTCTGAATAAATAATCCATGAATAAATAATCCAAAATAAATAAATCAGAAGAATTAATTCCAAATAAATAATCCAGGAGAAATAATCCAGAATAAATAAATAAAAATAAGTAATTCAGAATAAATAATCCATGAGAAATAATCTAGAATAAATAAAGCAGAAGAAAAAATTCCAAATAAATAATCCATGAGGAATAATCCAGAATAAATAATTCAAAAGAAATAATTCCAAATAAATAATCCGTGAGAAATAATCCAGAATAAATAAATCAGAAGAAATAATCCCAAATAAATAATCCAAGAGAAATAATCCAGAATAAATAATCCAGAATAAATAAATCAGAAGAAATAATTCTGGCTAAATAATCTAGAATAAATAATTCAAAAGAAATAATTCAGGAGAAATAATTAATTCAGAAATGCAAATGAGTTGACATCAAGCAGAATGCCATGAGGTCGCACAGGAAATGCCCCATTAGCGAATTGCTTTTAATCTCAGCCTAGTAAACCTTAAACCCAGCTTAGTTAAACCTCAGCTAAAGAGGGGTTACCCAGGAAAATTCCTTTTTCTCTTCCTTCCCTCTCCAAACAGATCAGGACAGACGGACAGTGGGAAGGAGTTTGTCCCTCAGAAAAGTGGGAAAAGCTGAGCCTCAGGAGGGATGAAGGAATTTGTCCTTCAGAAAAGCTGGAAAAGCTTCACCTCAGGACAGATGGACAATGGGAAGGAATTTCTCCTTCAGAAAAGTGGGAAAAGCTTTGCCTCAGGATGCATGGACAATGGGAAGGAATTTTTCCTTCAGAAAAGTGTCACCTGAGGACAATGGGAAAGGGTTTTTCCCTCAGAAAAGCGGGAAAACTTTACTTTAGGAGGGATGAAGGAATTTGTCCTTCAGAAAAGCTGGAAAAGCTTCACCTCAGGACAGATGGACAATGGGATGGAATTTCTCCCTCAGAAAAGCAGGAAAACTTCACCTCAGGAGAGATGGACAATGGGATAAAATTTGTCCTTCAGAAAAGCGTGAAAAGCCTCATCTGAGGATGGATGGACAATGGGAAGGAGTTTGTCCTTCAGAAAAATGGGAAATGCTTCACCTCAGGACAGACAGACAAGGGGAAGGAACTTTTCCCTCAGAAAATCTTCACCTCAGGAATGATGAAGGAGATTTTCCCTCAGAAAAGCAGGAAAAGCTTCACCCCAGGACAGTGGGAAGGAGATTTTCCCTCTGAAATGTGGGAAAAGCTTCACCTCAGGGCAGATGGACAATGGGATGGAATTTCTCCTTCAGAAAAGCAAGAAAAACTTTGCCTCAGGAGGGATGAAGGAATTTGTCCTTCAGAAAAAGCAGGAAAAGCTTTGCCTCAGGATGGATGGACAATGGGAAAGGGTTTTTCCCTCAGAAAAGAAGGAAAGCTTCATCTCAGGGCAGACAGACAATGGGATGGAATTTTTCCTTTAGAAAAGCATGAAAAGCCTCACCTGAGGATGGATGGACAGTGGGAAGGAGTTTGTCCTTCAGAAAAATGGGAAATGCTTCACCTCAGGACAGATGGACAATGGGAAGAAATTTTTCCCTCAGAAAATCTTCACCTCAGGAGGGACAAAGGAATTTGTCCTTCAGAAAAGCAGGAAAACTTCATCTCATGACAGATGGACAATAGGAAGGAATTTCTCCCTTCAGAAAAGCAAGAAAAGCTTTGCCTCAAGGAGGGATGAAGGAATTTTTCCTTCAGAAAAGCGGGAAAAGCTGAGCCTCAGGAGAAATGGACAATGGGAAGGAATTTTTCCTTCAAAAAAATCTTCACCTGAGGACAATGGGAAAGGGTTTTTCCCTCAGAAAAGTGGGAAAACTTTACTTTAGGAGGGATGAAAGAATTTGTCCTTCAGAAAAGTGGGAAAACTTCACCTCAGGAACGATGAAGGAGGTTTTCCCTCAGAAAAGCAGGAAATGCTTCACCTCAGGATGGATGGACAATGGGAAGGAATTTTTTCCTCCGAAAATCTTCACTTCAGGAGGGATGAAGGAATTTGTCCTTCAGAAAAGCAGGAAAACTTCATCTCATGACAGATGGACAATAGGAAGGAATTTCTCCTTCAGAAAAGCAAGAAAAGCTTTGCCTCGAGGAAGGATGAAGGAATTCGTCCTTCAGAAAAGAGGGAAAAGCTGAGCCTCAGGAGAAATGGACAATGGGAAGGAATTTTTCCTTCAAAAAATCTTCACCTGAGGACAATGGGAAAGGGTTTTTCCCTCAGAAAAGTGGGAAAACTTTACTTTAGGAGGGATGAAAGAATTTGTCCTTCAGAAAAGTGGGAAAACTTCACCTCAGGAACGATGAAGGAGGTTTTCCCTCAGAAAAGCAGGAAATGCTTCACCTCAGGATGGATGGACAATGGGAAGGAATTTTTTCCTCCGAAAATCTTCACTTCAGGAGGGATGAAGGAATTTGTCCTTCAGAAAAGCAGGAAAACTTCATCTCATGACAGATGGACAATAGGAAGGAATTTCTCCTTCAGAAAAGCAAGAAAAGCTTTGCCTCGAGGAAGGATGAAGGAATTCGTCCTTCAGAAAAGAGGGAAAAGCTTTGCCTCAGTACAGATGGACAATGGGAAGGAGGTTTTCCCTCAGAAAAGCGGGAAAAGTTTTACCTCAGGACAGAAGGACAATGGGATGGAATTTTTCCCTCAAAAAATCTTCACCTCAGGAATGATGAAGGAGGTTTTCCCTCAGAAAAGCGGGAAAAGTTTTACCTCAGGACAGAAGGACAATGGGATGGAATTTTTCCCTCAAAAAATCTTCACCTCAGGAATGATGAAGGAGGTTGTCCCTCAGAAAAGCGGGAAAACGTTCACCTCAGGACAGACGGACATTGGGAAAGAATTTTTCCTTCAGAAAAGCAGGAAAAGCTTCACCTGAGGACAATGGGAAGGGGTTTCTCCCTTAGAAAAGCGGGAACAGCTCCACCTCAGGAGGGATGAAGGAGGTTTTCCCTCAGAAAAGCAGAAAAACTTCACCTCAGGACAGTGGGAAAGAGATTTTCCCTCAGAAATGCGGGAAAAAATTCACCTCGGGAGAGATGGACAATGGGATGGAATTTGTCCTTCAGAAAAATGGTTAATGCTCCACCTCAGGAGGGATGAAGGAGGTTTTCCCTCAGAAAAGCAGGAAAGCTTCACCTCAGGACAGTGGGAAGGAGTTTTCCCCTCAGAAAAGCGGGAACAGCTCTACCTCAGCTCCATAAATCCCTTCCATTCCCAGCTTTAAGGACAATTTCCCACCCAGCCACTCCAGCTCCTTCTCCCCCCAGGATTCCAGGGCACCAAAATCTAACAAAAACACCACTGGGAGAGGTTTGGTGCAATTTGCGTTCCTGACCCTTTCATCCAACATCCAACAACCCAGCTGGCAGGACCCCAACCCTTGAAAAATGTTGTTAAAAATATTAAAATTTGTGGTTTTATGGCCTAAAAACACCCAAAAAAATGAGAATTCCACACAAAAAAGGGGTTTTTGAGAGCCCTCCAAGGCACCTCAGCAACATCAGATTCCCAAAGGAGCTTGGAAACGGAGCTGGGCAGCATTTAAAAAGAATTTTCATGAACGTTTCTATTCAAATAAATTCAAAATCTCGGCTTTAATAGAGGTCTAGTATCACTGAAAAAATGTTTAAAAATTGGAATTAATTTTTAAACGTGACAAAATCGAGAATTACACCAAAATTTTTGCTCCTTCGCTCCTGCTGGGAGCTCAAAGTGCTGCAGGGGGAGGGCCCAAAATGGGAAATTTAATATTTGATTGTTATTATTATTATTATTATTATTAATTTATTTCACACCACATTGGAATTTGGGAGAGGAGCAAACCCAGCTGGGCACGACCCTCAATTCAAACCACAGAAAAATCCCCAGCCCCCAGCAGAAATTGCCAAAGGAAGGGGTTGGAAATGTTGTAAATTCATTTTTAGGCACTGTAAATTCACTTTCAGGTATTTTAAATTCACTTTTAGATGTTGTAAATTCATTTTTACATGGCGCAAATTCATTTTTAGGTGGTGTAAATTTGTTTTCAGTACCTTAAAGTCGAGGCTGTTCAGGCTGATGGCGTCATCGTCCTTCTCTCGGCGCTTCCTTTTCTGTGAGAAACCAAACAAAAAGAGGGGTTTGAGGTCAGAAATGTAATTTTAAATACAGCAATCTAGAGATATTTCCTTTTTTTACACCCCCAGCTACGTGTAAGAACTTAAAAATTAAAAGTTGAACTTTTTTTTTGTTATTTAATGGAATTTTTCAGAAAAATCATCCTGTTCCAAATCCCGGGATTTGGATTATGGGCATTTCAGGGATTCAGAAGCTTTGGATTTTTTTTTTTTTCTTTTTGTAAATTTTATTTTTAATTTTATTTTAAATTTTTTAATTTTAATTTGAGCTTTGGGATCACCCATTCCTTAGGATATAGCCAGCACAGAGCTCTGGCTGCAGAATTCCTGCTGGGAATGTGAGAGGCTAAAAACCCAAGGAATTTTTTGGGATAAAAATGAGATTTTTGACCTGGGAATTCTCAACAGAACCATTGGGATAATGATCAAAGGCATCTGCATTGAGATTCCTGGTATTTCCCACTATTCCTGGAATATTTTCCTGGAATGTCTGGGCTTCTTTTTTATTATCCAGATGATGGAAAACCAATTGGAAAACCCACGGCTCACGAGTCACTCGTGGAACAAAGGAGCTGATTTTTAATCCTGGCATTTTTATCCCAATTTTCACCCTTGTCCTTTTCCCAAAGACTCAACTCCATCCTCTCCCAATTAATGAAGGAAAAAAGGAAGGAATGAGGATTTTTATACAGTGTCAATCCAAGTTTTGAGGTGAGAGGAGGAGTGGTCTCTCCCACTCCGAAATTCAGATTTCCCATTTTGGGCCCTCCCCCTGCAGAACTTTTATATATACTGAATATATTGATACTGATAATAAATCAATCCCTTAATTCCTGCATTTCTCACTCCATCCTTTCCCAGAGCCCTGGAAACCTTGAGAAAACGCAAATCCAGCTTTTCCTTTTTCTTTGGGATCAATAAAATATTCCAACTCGCTTCTTTCTCCAAGCCTGCCCTGGCCACGCTTTTCCAGGTGATTTTTCTCCTCCCCAAAAAAAGAGAATTCCGAGGGTTTTTTTTCCAGGTAATTTTTTTCCCTCCAAAATAAATTTATGAGGAAAAAAAAAAAATAAAATATCTGGAATAAAAACCCTTCTCTCCCAGCTTTTTTTTTTTTTTTTGGGATTTATTGGTTCTTCTGGGGTGGTGAAATTTACATTTTTCCCATCGAGCTCCAGCCCAAACCCAGACACAAAAATGAGGCCAAAACGTTGTTTTGAAACTGGCGAGACTCAATTCCATTGGCTGCTTCCCCATTCTGGAGAAAATCCTAGACATCGCGCTCCAGAGCCAGCTGAGTTGTGCCAGAAGAGGAAAATTCCAGGGAAAACGGCTCAAATCCAAGGATTTGGAGCCACGGGATGGAAAAGCAACTGAAAAAATGGGTTTTTTCTCCCATTTTTGGGTTTTTCACTGTCTGTGATCCCACTCATTCCCCTTCTCCCAGCCCCCAAATCCTGTGGAAAAAATTCCTTTTCCTAAATTTATTAATGTGGGAAATTCTCTGTCTCCCAGCCCCAAAATTGTGTGGAAAAAACTCCTTTTCCCCAAATTTATTAGAAGGGAAAATTCCCCTTTTCCCAGTTCCCAAAACCTGTGGAAAAAATTCCTTTTCCTAAATTTATTGAAGTGGGAAATTCCCCATCTTCCAGCCCCCAAATCCTGTGGAAAAAATTCCTTTTCCCAAAGTTATTAAAATGGGAAATTCTCCATCTTACAGCTCCCAAAATTGTGTGGAAAAACTCATTTTCTCAAATTTATTTAAGGGAAAATTCCCCTTTTCCCAGTTCCTAAAACCTGTGGAAAAAAAATTCCTTTTTCCCAAATATATTGAAGTGGAAAATTCCCCTGTGGAAAAAAATTATTTTTCCCGAAGTTATTAAAATGGGAAATTCCCCTTTTCCCGGCTCCTAAATCCTCTGGAAAAAATTCCTTTTTCCCAAATTTATTCAACCCTCAGATCCAATTTAGGGCCTTTGTAAAGCAGAAACTTAAAAAAAAAAATTAAATTGCTCGGGAAGGAAAATGAAAATATTTTGGGATTTGATTTGAACATGGAATTTGAAGGATTCTGAGGGAAGCTCCAAGAATTCTTTGGAAGCAACGATTTTAATTGGAAAAAAATCCCAATTAACTTCTCCTCCAGAATAATTCCAGAAGAATTGTGGAAGGATCAGAATGGGATTTTTGGTGCTTTTTTGCCCACCTGAAATCAGAAACTTTAATGAGATTTTGGGATTGTGAAATTCACAAAGCTCCAATTCCCCAGCAGGAAATCCTTGGAAATAAAAAGGAATAAAGGAAAAGATTCCAGGAGGAATTTTGCTTCCAGTTAGACCCAAACTGATTTAATTTTTTTTTTTTTTTTTT